GCGAACTGGACATGTTGAACCGGGATGCCTCGCTGGAGGAGTTCATCGAGAAGCTGACGACGGTACCGCTGCTGTTTCAGCCTGGGGGTCGCTGGAATTACAGTGTTTCGGTCGATGTGCAGGGTCGCCTTGTGGAGGTGCTTTCCGGCCAACCGCTTGATGAATTCTTCGCCGAGCGAATCTTCAAACCGCTGGATATGAAAGACACAGCCTTTTTCGTGCCGGAAGAGAAGCTGGACCGGTTCGCTGCTAACTACGGGACCGTTGACGACAAGTTGAGCGTGATCGATGCGCCGCAAGAGAGTGCCTATCGCTACTCGCCGAAGTTCTTCTCCGGCGGCGGGGGGCTTGTTTCCACTGCCCGCGACTACATGCGGTTCTGCCAGATGCTGTTGAACGGGGGCGAACTCGACGGGACGCGAATCCTCAAGCCCGAGACAGTCGAGCTGATGACTTCGAATCATCTGCCCGAGGAGATCATGCCCATCGGGTTTGGGTTCATCAAACGCACTGGTGTGGGCTTCGGTTTGGGGTTTGCGGTTCGTGTGGAAGCAACATCCGGCGAACCGGAAGAGGCCGTCGGGGAATACAGTTGGGGCGGGGCCGCGAGCACGAATTTCTGGATTGTGCCCAAGCTCGACCTGATCGGTATCTCTTTCACTCAACACATGCCGCTGGCGAACTCTTACGATCGGGACTTTCGCCGCATTGTGTACGAAGCCGCAGGGGCCCCGCTGGCTGAGGAGTGAACTCGGCCCCCACAAGGGGTGACAGCATCGCTGCTGCGGTTGAAGAAGCGTGTTTCGAACTGGAGTTTGTCGGTCCACGTACATCTAACCGCGGCGTTAAGCGGCTACTGCGAGTGGCTTTGCTAGCTGGCCGGCAGGCGGTCGTTGCGCGGGCGAAAATCTCGCATTGCCGTGTTCTGAGATTGCCGATAGAGACTAAGTAGCGGTATCGAGGGTCACTAGGAACGGTCGACGGAGTCGGCGGTGATCACCGATGAATTGCCCTCGGAGGAGAGCAGCGATGAAGACGTACACCGGTCCTTGGGCAAACTCGCGATCGCTTGTCGCGCTGCTGGCTTTCGCCGTCACGCTGGGAGCCGTTCAATCGGCTTCGGCCCAATATCAATACGTCCCCTCGCGCGACTACTACCACAACGACACCGTGGGTGGAACCGTGTTGGGTGGAGCCTTGGGTGCGGTGACCGGGGCGATTGTGGGTGGAAAAGACCACCGCGGCGGAGGTGCTCTGATCGGGGCCGGCGTGGGTGCCCTCACGGGTAATGTGCTGGGCCGGAACAAAGATCGCGCCGACGAACAGCGGGCCGCCATAGGAGCTGCCACTGTGGCTCAAGCCAATCAGGCTGCTGCAGCCCAAGCGGTGACTAACTACGACCTGATCCGCATGACGCAGGCCGGTGTGACTGAGGATGTGATCATCAGTGCGATGCGTTCCCGCGGGTCGAGGCTCGACCTCAGCCCTCAAGGGCTCATCTCGCTGAAAGAGAACGGCGTGAGCGATCGAGTGATCGTAAATGCTCAGAACATGGTGCAGAATTACGCGGCTGCCCCACAGCCCACGATTGTGACCGACGCCCCGCCGCCGACGGTGATTGTTGCCCCGCGTCCCGTCTATTACTACGGCTGGGGACCGCCCTGCTACCGGCCTTACTACCGCCCCCATCATTACCACCGCGGTGGTAATCTGAGCGTGCATTTTTAAGCATGCGGCGGCGAAAGCTTCTAGCGAACCAAGCCGAACGAGATATTCATCTCGTTGAGATCGGATCGCGTTGCGATGTGGCCCCTGAAGTTACGGGGTCGTGATGGCTTCGAGGAACTTGCAGCCGATGATTTGACGGCCGTCTTCTTGCAGCTTGGCGTGACGAATCTCGGCGAGCAGTTCTACTGGGTCTGTACCTTCGCGCAGTTCGAGCGAGATGACGATGTAATCGCCCGACTGAAACTCAACGGGACTTACCAGGCAGATACCCCACATGCAGATGTTGCGTCCCTGGGTTTTCACCACGGGACCAACTCGCTCGGCGTGTTTGTCGAGCGCCTGAACAACGACCTGGCGAGTGAAGGGAAACCGCGCGTTCTCGCGATTGGTCGATTCCGCTTCGTCCCGGCCTGTGAAATCCAGGGCTTCGATGTCTTCGATCGTGGGAGATGCGGCATTGTCGTTCATCGATCTATCCGTGGCGGTTTGCGAGATCGGGTCAGAAATACGGTTTCAGAGCGCTTGTGTGAAACTATAGGTCTGCGGGTTGCCAACCCCCTGTGGAATTGACCCGAAGCCGCCAGAAGGAGTTCAAAATGGCGGCTTTTGCCAGCACATCGGGAATAATCGCGCCAATCCGAGCCGCTTCGTCCCCGAACATTTTTCGCCCGCAGGTGTCCCTCTCGTGGTTCGGCCAGCAATTACCGGCTGAAGGCCGGTCAGAAGGTTGATCAACTCGTTGTCGGGGCATACATTAGAGCGATTACCCTTCGCTGCGGTTTCGCGACTCTCTAGGCGGTGGATTCGAGGCGAAACATGGCGACTATTCGACTTTTTCTCACGCTAGTCGTGATTGTTTAGGGCTCGAAGAGCGAGCCGTTCCCCCTGTCTGTTTTTTGTATTTCCCATTTCCATTTCGTGGAGGCTGTTTGCTGTGGCTACCACCCCCCGTTCGACCGAAGCTACCAACCTTATGTCTGGCGCCGACATCGTCGTCGAATCGCTCGTGCGACACGGGGTTGAGGTCGTATTCGCCTACCCAGGTGGGGCCAGTATGCCGATGCATCAAGCTCTCACGCGATACAAGGAAAAGATCCGCACGATTCTCCCCCGCCACGAGCAGGGCGGCAGTTTCGCGGCACAGGGCCTTTCGCGAAGCACCGGCAAGCCGGGCGTTTGCATGGCCACCAGCGGCCCGGGAGCTACGAACCTGGTGACCGCGATTGCGGATGCCAAGTTGGACAGCATCCCGCTGATCGCCCTGACCGGTCAGGTGCCGACGAAGGTGATTGGCAGCGACGCCTTCCAGGAAACCCCCATCATCGAAGTCTGTCGCGGCATCACCAAGCATCACTGCCTGGTGACCGACGTCGAGGATATCGCCCGGGTGATGAAGGAGGCCTTTCACGTGGCCACCACCGGTCGCCCAGGCCCGGTGATTGTCGACTTGCCAAAAGACATCCAACTTGCTCAGACGGCGCCCGACTTCGATGTCCCCATGTATTTGCCGGGCTATCGGGTGACTGCACCGCAGCACGCTCAGCCCGAGCAGTTGGCCCAGGTGGCCGCCGCCGTGAAACGAGCCAAACGACCGGTGATCTACGCCGGTGGTGGGATTATTGCCGCTGGGGCCTCCGCCGAGCTGACTGACTTCGCCCATAAGACTGGCATTCCGGTCACCACCACGGTGATGGGGCTGGGAGCCTTCCCGGGCGATGACCCTCAGTCGCTGCACTTCCTGGGCATGCACGGGAGCGTGTACGCCAACTACGCGGTTGAAGATTGCGACCTGCTGCTGGCCTTCGGCGTGCGGTTCGACGATCGGGTGACCGGCAAGCTCTCGGAGTTCGCCAAGGGTGCGAAGATCGTCCACATCGACGTCGATCCTTCGGAAATCAACAAGAATAAGGCCGCGCACATCCCGATTGTGAGCGACATTAAATTCGCATTGGGCGAGCTGAATAAGCTGGTCGAGCCGTGCGATGACTTGAGCCAGTGGTACAGTCAGATCGAGAAGTGGAAGGAAGCCGATCCGCTGACCTACGACAAAAACTTCCCGGGCATTCTCCCACAGCACGCGATCGACATGCTGTGGCAGAAGACCCATCAGCTTGACCCCGTCGTGGCGGTCGGGGTGGGCCAACACCAGATGTGGGCGGCCCAGTTCTACAAGTTCCGATCGCCTCGTACTTGGATGTCCAGTTCAGGACTCGGCACGATGGGCTTTGGCCTGCCGGCAGCCATGGGTGCCCAGGCAGCATACCCGGGCCGTTTGGTGATTGATATCGACGGCGACGGCAGCTTCCAGATGAACATTCAGGAGCTGGCCACCTGCTATTGCGAAGACCTGCCTGTGAAGGTCTTCCTGCTGAATAACCAGCACTTAGGCATGGTGGTGCAGTGGGAAGATCGCTTCCACGCGGGTAACCGAGCCCATACCTATCTCGGCCCAGTGCATCACCCGGAGGCGGTGGGTAAGGGCGACGGACTCGGACCGCAAGATCGTTATCCGGATGTCGTGGCCATCGCCAAGGGTTACGGAGCCGGCGGGGCCAACGTTCGCAATAAGGCCGATCTGGCTGATGCGATCCAAGAGATGATCGACTACCCTGGTGCGTATGTTCTCGATGTTGAAGTGCCTTACATGGAACACGTGCTGCCGATGATCCCCTCGGGCATGACCCCGCGGGATATTATCAAAGAGTAGATCTGGCTCGCACGTCGAACTCTTCCCACTTGGCTGAAGGAGTTGCGATGATGGCCGTGAACCCCATCCCGAAGGATCGTTCGCGAATTACGCCTTACCTGGTCGTCAGTGGTGCCGACAAACTGCTGGATTTCCTGAAGCAGGTGTTCGACGCCGAAGAGTTCTATTGCATGCGAGGATCGGACGGCTCGGTGATGCACGCCGAGGTCAAGATCGGCGGTGAGTCGATCATGATGGGTGAGGCCAAGGATGAGTGGCCACCGATGCCGGGCTCGGTCTACATCTACGTTGAAGATACCGATGCCACCTACAAGAAGGCATTGGAGGCCGGGGCCACGTCGATCATGGAACCTGCCGATCAGTTTCACGGCGATCGCTATGGCGGTGTGACTGACCCGGCGGGGAACCAATGGTGGATCGTCTCCCATGTCGAAGACGTATCCCCAGAAGAACTCGCTCGCCGCGAGAAAGAGTTCATGGAGCAGATGCAGCAGCAGTAGATAGCTGGGCTAGTGAGCTGGGGCCGCACTTCATTTGGGCCCCAGCCTGAAATGGCCTGGCTGTGCTAGGCGGTTCTTCGCTGACCCTTGGCCAGGCTTTCGAACATGATGTCCGTCGGGTCGTCATCATGATCGGCCAGGCCGAGCAGGTGGCCGAACTCGTGCTCGAGCACCGTCAGCAGGTCGATTCCTTCGGCAGCTGGACCTGAATCGGCTGAAAGCACTCCGGTGGCCAGTAGTTCATATCCGTCGTCACTCCCGGGCGTTGGGTCGACGAACCAGCCGTGACCTGCGGCGTCGATATCGAGATACACCCGATCGCCCACGGCCCGGCCCAACATGGCACCTGGCAAATCGGCAATGCGGATGTCGGTTCCCAACAACCGGTTCACGGCCTCGTCGCCCGCGGCGGCCCATTTACCGGCTGCTTCATTCAACACCGATTGAATGTCACTGGTTGAGAGCGAAGCTGCGGACGAGGCACCAACTCCCTCGGCGGCCAGTAGCGGTTGAACCGTATCGACCCACTTGCCAACGATGGGCATCCAGTTGGGCACCCCGTAGTTGAAGGCCGGCACGTCGGCCACCCCGGAGTTGTTCGAGTTCCGCAGGAACGTGGTGGCGGTCCCGGCGTTGTACACGCCGATCGTATCAACGCCGTCGCTGTTCCAATCGCCGGCCAGCGGAACCCAGTTCGGCAGACCGTAGTTGAACACAGGGACATCGGCCATGCCTGCATCGTTCGTGTTTCGCAGGAAGAACGTGGCAGTAGCAGGGTTGTACAGCCCGATGGTTTCGCTGCCGTTTCCGTCCCAGTCGCCCACAATTGGCTGCCAGCCGGGCATACCGTAGTTGAAGACCGCCACCGGCACATTACCGCCGGCGTTCGAGGCTCGCAGGTAGAAGGTCGAAGTGCTGGGGTCGTATACCCCGACCGAATCGACCCCATCGTTGTTCCAGTCTCCGGCGATGGGCAACAGACCCGGCACGGCAAAGTTGAAGACGATTTCGACGTTCACTCCGCCGGCGTTTTCATTGATTAGCTTGAATTCACCGGTATCGGAGTTGTATACGCCGACGGTATCGACCCCGTCGCCGTTCCAGTCGCCCGAGACAGGAATCGCATTCGCCCCGTCGGGCAGATTGAATGGCGCGACATCGGAGACGCCTGAGTCGTTTGAATTACGCAAGAAGAATGTATGCGTTGTCGGGTTGAACACACCCAGGGTGTCGGGCAGCGGTGGCAAGACTTGAGAGCCCGCCCTGGTGATGATCACCGTGTCGCGATCGAACAGTTCACCACGGTTCTGGTTGTTCCCTTCGTTCGATTCGCTAATGGCATTACCCGAATCGACGATCATGCCAATGAAGTATTCATCGTTGGCGTTTGCATAGAATGATTCGTCGGAGGGTAGTTCCAGGGTAATCGTATCCTGGTGCACGGTATCGCCGGCGAGCGAATTGACGGCGTATTGGCCAAGCAACACGTCGCTGGCCGAGATGTGCCCGTTGCGACTTAGGTAGAACGAGACGTTAAAGGCTCCGGCGTTGAAAGTCGCTTCGTTGCGGATGGAGAACTTCAGGTCGAAGCTGTCTCCAGAAACCAGGGGCTCTTGTAGCACGTTGAAGTTGATGCCCTGCAAATCGGCCTGAGTGTCTGGAATGTTGACAACCAGGTTGTCACGATCGACTAGTTGCCCGACGTTGCTGTTATTCGATTCGTCCGATTCGAGCGTCAAATCGAACCGATCGATGATCATCCCGATGTGGAAGGTGCCCCCACCCTGCCAGAAGGAATCGGTTGCTGCGGGAAGTTGTAGCGACTTCATCAACGTCGCCGTGGTGGCCCCGCCATTCAGGCTTGGAAGGTTCTGGCTGCTTAGGAACCGATCGCCGGTGGTAATGGTGTTGTCTGAGCTCAGATAGAAATCGACGCGGTAGCCGCCAGACGGTACGACATCCGCGTTATTGATGCGGTACTCAATGTCGACTAAGTCACCAGCCAAGGCGACGTCTGTGTCGATATTGAAGAAGTCGCCAACGAGGTCTGGAAGATCAAACGGGTTCAAGATCTCCGTCGCATTGCTCAGCGCCCACGCTCCTCGCCCGAGGGTGCCCACGACCAGGACATCGTCGGCCACATCGTAATCGAGGTCCCAAATTGGGGCGTTGGGCAGGTTGCCGACCTCGGCCCAATCGCCCAACGAACTTGTGCTGGTGGCAAACAGCCCCGTACCTGTTCCAACTACCAGAGTGTCCTGGAACATGCCAGGCACAAACTCGAGAGATCGCAATTGATCGGTAACCGTGAACAGGTCAGTCGTGATATTGGCCCAAGTATCGCCGGCATTGTTAGTGACCCAAACGTCATCGTTTCCGTCGATGACGTAAGCCGTGCGCCAGTCGTTATCGTCTAGGACGATATCCATGACGAACCCGCCTTCATAGCTGATGGCGGGTTCCAACTGGTCTGCAGCAGTCGGTCGAACGAAGACGCTACTGCCAGCGCCCACATAGAGCACATCGGGGTTGGCCGTGTTTCCGATCCGTCCTCCGTAAGCGATCGGCATCGAGCTTGAATTGACTTGGATGCCTGCTCCGACGATCGAAATCGTGTCGCCGCGATCGAACGATTCCCAAGTGGAGTTGCCACCTCCGATGATCATGCGGGTCGGGTTGATGTCGTTCAGGGTTATCGGTGTTACGAAAATGGTGGTGAGTTCGTTGACAGACAGCTCTTGCAAGCCGACCGGTGTCGCGCCCAGGAAGTTGTTGTTGGCGTCGAACGTGCTTCTTACGAACCCGCCCAGGTTTTGGCTACTGGAATACCGGTATGAGAGTCCTGGTGTGCTGGTATCGTCCACGGCGACGTCACCACCATCGCCGCCAGAGCCTTGGGTCCAGACAGTCGATCCTGCAAAGTTCTGGCCAGAAGTACCGTTGTCCTGAGATCCGCCGATAATCACGTTGGAATTACTGTCATAGGCGATGCTATGAAATTCAGTGACCTGCAGGTTGCCATTGATGGAGAACCAATCGCCAAGGTCCGATCGGGGGTTGGTACGACGGTAGATGCCGCCGTCGTCGCCTTCGATGATGTTCCCGTTGGCATCGAAGACCATTTCGCGTGAATCGGCATGGGGAGCACTGTTGCTGGCCGTTCCACCGCCTGCGGGCCCCAGGCCACTGGTGTGCGTGAGATGCACCCATTGCTCGTCTTCAGGTTTCGAGGCATCGCCCCGGAAGAGGCGCCCCGTGAAGTTGTTCGCCCCGATGGCGTTAGGCCAATCGCCTTCGTCGTTGAAACCTCTAGGTTGACGGTCGCCACCGACGTAGACGATATTTGAGTTGATCGGATCGGCCAGAATCGAGAAGTGAATCTGACCCTGCGAGCCTGGGAGTTCACCCGGCTTCACGCGTGGGTTGGTGCCGACGTCGCCACCGTCTTCGTTCGTCAGCGGAACGTCCATCTGGGTCCACGTGGTCCCGCCATCTCCCGAACGAAAAACACCGGCAAGTTGGCCGTCGTTGATAATGGCGACAAACACGTTGTTCGCATTTCCCGCGGCAATTTCGATATTCTGTGTGACGAAATCGCCTTCACCGGGGGATTTGATTAATTCATCGATTTCTGGGCTGCTTACCTTGGTCCAGTTCGCTCCGGTATCGGTGCTCTTATAAATGCCGCTGTCGGTACCCGTGCCCCGCACCGAGGTGTAGAGGGTGGAGTCATTGGTGGGGCTGCCCACCAGATCGAATGCCCGTCCAGCGCCAAGACCATTGGTGCCAGAGATCGTTGAGAAAGTCGTACCCGTGTTGGTACTGCGGTAAACCCCAGAGAAGTTGTCGGAGACAACGATGATGTTACCACGTGCGGCGACGCCGGAAATGTTGTTCCCGATTAGCGTGCCGCCGCCGTCGATAATATCCCACGTATCGCCGCCATCGGTCGTGCGAAGCAAACCGGTTCTGTTGCCACCGGCTCCACCGAAACTACTGAAGAGACCAATACCGGCGACGAGAGTGTTATTGGAGCCATCGGTCCGGTCGTACTCGAGCGCACCGATGGACAGCGATGGCATGTCATCAATCAGCGGTTCCCATTTTGGGCTCGATGCCGTTGCGTTCTTCGATCTCCAGATCCCACCGTTGGTTGCACCAACGAACAGGATGTTGGCATTGGTGGGATGGGCCGCGATGGTGTGAATCGCCCCGGAAACTTGATTGTTCGGAGTGATGTTCTCGACCTGGGCATTCTGGATCGGTGCAGGACCCTGGGCAACCCAGTTGGCATCGATCGACGGCAGAATAAGAGCCTGAACGTCTTCGATTTCTTCAACGCCCGAGCCCGAGGCGCTCAGCAGCGTTCGAACCTCAAGTTGCTCAACGGGAAGCAGGCGTGAGCGTCGACCACAATGGCCATTCTTCGAAGCGATCGTCATTGATAGTACCAGCGGCTGGCGAGTGGCGATTCAACCGCTCGGGGAATGCTGTTCACCGAGCAATTCAGGTAGCGCCAAACTCCTTGGCAACCACCAGGAAAAGGGCCTGCCCCCGCAATGTTCCCTAAGGCTGAATCTAAGCCCACTGGGTGCCCGGCCCGACACACGGGAACTCATTGTGATTGGGGCCAAAATGCGGGTCAACTAAATTGATCGCCGGTAGATCGAGGACCCACTCCTCCTGCTGCCCCCGGTGGGGGGCACATGTGAAGGCGATGACCGCGAAGAAATGGTCAACGCTGCAAACCCGTGCGATCGCTTTAGTCCAGTTGGGTGCTTGGCATTTGGAGTGCAAGCTGAGTGCTCGGGAACTTAACGCTCGGCGTCGACCAATTCGCGAAACTGCTGGAACAGGTAGTGGCTGTCGTGTGGGCCGGCCGAGGCCTCTGGGTGGTACTGCACGCTGAAGGCGGGGGCCGACTTGTGGCGTACGCCTTCGATGGTGTTGTCGTTGAGGTTATAGTGCGTAACTTCCAGGTCGTCGGGCAGCCCTTCTTCATCGACGGCAAAGCCGTGGTTCTGCGAGGTGATTTCAACCCGACCTGAAGCCAAGTTCATCACCGGCTGATTGCCCCCGCGGTGGCCGAACTTGAGCTTGAAGGTCTTCGCCCCCGAGGCCAACGACAACAACTGATGGCCGAGGCAGATCCCGAAGATCGGCTTCTTACCCAGCAGGCCGCGAATTGTCTTTACGGCGTATTCGATTGGTTCGGGGTCGCCAGGCCCATTGGAGAGGAACACTCCGTCGGGGGTGTGAGCCAGCACATCGTCTGCCGAAGCTGTGCCTGGGAGAACCGTGACTTTGCAACCGATGTTGTAGAGATGGCGGGCAATGTTCCACTTCATGCCGTAGTCGAGGGCTACGACGTGGGGGGCATCTTCCCCAGGAGCCTGCTCCGGCGCATTGTCTCCGTCTAAGTGCGTCCACCGGCTGACTTGCTCATCCCACTGGCGGGCCTCTTCAGGGATCACTTCTTTCACCAGATCGCGACCGACTAGGCCTTTGCTGGCTTTGGCCTTAGCCACCAGGCTGGCGTCGTCGAGATCGGTGGTGGATAGCACACCCTTCAAAGCGCCTTGGCTGCGGATGCGTCGCACCAGGGCTCGGGTGTCTACTCCGGCGATGCCGACTACGCCCCATTTCTGTAGGTATTCGCTCAAGGCCCCGTCGGAGCGGAAATTGCTGTGGCGACGGCTGTTTTCTCGCACCACGAACCCGGCCAGGTGTGGCTTGCTACTTTCGATATCTTCGGCATTCACACCGTAGTTGCCAATTTCGGGATAGGTCATCGTGACGATCTGCCCGCGGTAGCTGGGGTCGGTCAGAATCTCTTGATACCCTGTCATCGAAGTGTTGAAGCACACTTCGCCGTCGACTTCCCCGTCGGCACCGAACGAAAAACCGGACAACACGGAACCGTCTTCCAGTGCTAACTTGGCAGGCTTAGTCATTGCTTTCCGATCTCGCTGTGTTTGCGGAAGAACAAGTTACATTGTTGTTAGCTTGCTCAAGGTTTCCCGGGCACGTCGCCGATAGGCTATGTACGGCTGTGGGTCTCCGAGCAATGCCGTAATGTGCCACGTTTGGACAGCCATTCGAATTGAGGGTCCTTGCTCCGGCGAACAAGGACCCTCTTTTTATGCGCATGGGTATCCATCGGGTGTCAGTTGTGTTGCCCGTATACCATACCGCGATCGCGGCTTGATGCCTAGAATCCCCGCCGGGCTGGTGGGGGTGATTTCGCAATGAATTGCGGAGAATCGTCTGAGAAAGGGCCTACTCTCGCGGGCAATCGCTTCGGCCCACTCACTCAGCCGCACTGAGGGGTCGCTTCGAGCAGTTCTACCGGATGCTGGACCAGCGAGGCTGTCGAAGGTTCGACCGGTTGCTCACGGCGTTGTAGCACCGCGATCAAACTCACTCCACGGCGATAGGGCGATGTCGAGCGTCCGGCGAGGATATTGCTTAGTCGGTTCGATTCGCCGGCGAACAGCCATCGCAGCGTCTGATTGAGAGGTTTCGGCGGGATCGAGAAATCAGTGCCTGCTTCACCCATGGCTTGCCCTCGCCAGTGGGTCCAGGCTCTCACAGCCCTCACAGGCAGATAAAGCCGGGTATTGAAGTGGGAGACTAGTCGCACGTCCACATCCAGGTCCCGCCACACGCGCTGCAGGCGGGTTTGTGTGTAGCGGCGGAAGTGTCCGAAGCTCACGTCGTGCTCGCTCCACAAGCGACGGTCGGCCGGTACGGTCAACAACAAGTGGGCCCCCGGTCGCATGGCTTCGATCAAGCTGTGCAGCATGCCGTAGTCGTCGTCGACGTGCTCGAGCACATCGTTGAGCATCACCAGGTCGGCCGTTCGCATCGGTTCGTCGATGTCTGCCGGGGCGAAGCCTTCGACAAACCGCACGCTGGGAAATCGCTTGCTGGCCCAGCGAATCGCATCGGCCGACGTGTCGATGCCCAGGCAGCTGTAAGCATCGGTAAATGCCCCGATATTGCCTCCCGTTCCGCAGCCGACATCGATCAGTGTGGCCTTAGGCGAAGGGGGAACGATCTGCTCAACCAGCCGCCGCAGAATCTGCCGACGGGCCACGAACCACCAGTGGCGGTCTTCGATTTCGGCATGTAACTGAAACTGCTCTTCGTTCACGGCAGATGGCCCAGGCTGAAAACCACTCGGCTGGTCGCTAACGGCTGGCTGCGAAAGAGTTTTCGCGCGTTCCCCTCGGCAGCCATCGAAAACATACCCCGGGCCAGCGGGATTTCAGCAGAAACGGCAAACCGAGCAGGAAAGCCTGGTTACAGATATCCGTACCAATCCGGTAGGAAGCAAAATCAGAGCAGCGACGCGGGAAGCGAGCGAGCAGTCAGATCGATTAGACCGATCGTGCGTGAGATACGGGCGACTTGGAAGTGGCCTGCAGCTGAGCTGAGCCGTCGATCACTTCGAGGCGGGCTGCGACTCGGCCTCCGAGGGAGCGGAATTGCCTAGACATCGCCCGATCTGCCGAACTGCTTGTCGCAGGCGGTTTTCGTTTTCGACCAAAGCCAGCCGGAGATAGCCTTCGCCCGCTGGGCCGAATCCGCCGCCGGGGGCCGCGGCCACATCGCCTTCTTGCAGCAGCTTCATGGCAAAGTCCAACGAATTCATCTGGGCCTGCCAAACCTCGGGGATCTTGGCCCATACGAACATGCCGGCGCGAGGTCGGGTGATGTCCCAGCCGAGACGGGTGAGGCCGTCACACAGAACATCGCGCCGCTGCTGATACAACGCCGATTGGGCTTCGACCGCGGCATCCGTGTCGCGGAGGGCGACAATGGCGGCGATTTGAATTGGGCGGAACATGCCGTAGTCGTAGTAGCCTTTGATCGTGGCCAGGGCTTTGATCATCTCGGCGTTGCCGGCACAAAAGCCGACCCGCCAGCCGGCCATGTTGTAGCCCTTGCTCATCGTGGTGAACTCGACCCCGACCTCAAGCGCCCCGGGCGTGGCCAGGAAGCTTGGCGGTTTGTAACCGTCGAACGCCACATCGCAGTAGGCCAAGTCGCTAATCACCATGAATCCATACCGCTTGGCCAGCTTCACCACCTCGACATAGAAGTCGGGCTCGACCGTAACGGCCGAGGGATTATGAGGGTAGTTGATGATCAGCACTTTGGGGCGTGGATAAAGATGCTGACAGGTGTAGGCGATGTTCGAGAGGAACTTCTCGGTGTCCATCACCTCCAGCGAGATTGCATTCGCCGCTGATAGTGCCACGCCGTACAGGTGAGCGGGGTACGAGGGAGCCGGCACAATCGCCGAATCGCCGGGCCCAAGCAGAGCCAGGCACATGTGACTGAAGCCCTCTTTCGAACCGAGGCAGACGATCACTTCCGACTCTGGATCGAGCCGGCAGCCGTAGCGTTTGAGGTACTTCGAGGTCACCTCACGGCGGAGATTCTTGAGACCCTGCGACTCGGTATAGCCGTGACTCCGCGGGTCGCGAGCAGCTTCGCACAGCTTGTCGATCACGGCATCGGCCGGTGGGTCGGACGGGTTTCCCATTCCCAAGTCAATCACATCGTCGCCAGCGCGACGCTTACGCATCTTCAGCGCGTTGATTCGGGCGAACAAATAAGGTGGTAGGCGATCGACACGCGAAGCCACACGGATTTGGAAAGGATCGGAGTTTTCGTCCGGTTCGATGGAATGGGGACCGTTACTCATGCGGGGTCTACACAGAAGGGCTGGTTGTCACAAAGATCAAACGCTGAGGTACATGCTGACGAAGGCCGGCCGAGAGACCGGCTTTCTTAGGCACACGCTCAACGCCATTGTATCTACCTATGCTATGGTGCAATCATCGATTTGGCCAGTCGAGTACCGTGGGCTCAGATTGAAATAAACCCGGGTATCTCTGACAGTTATGACGCCGTTACGGCCTGTGAAGTGCCAAGAGACGGGCAATCACACGGCCCTTCGTTTGGAGGGCAAGTTCAGAGACGCTCGACTTCGGCTGCTAGGGTAAGTGCCTCAACGGGCGAACAAGGTTCACGGAACCGCCATTCCTGTCAGGCGTAATTCCATGATCGTTGTTAGCGGCTCACTGGCAGGAGCTACGCCTCGCTCCCTGCAACACTGGGGATTGGGTGATTACAATCCACCGCAATTTCGCACTTCAAGGTGCGTTGCTTGTCGTTCAGTCCACATATCCCATCGGTGGGGAGAATCACGATGTTCGAGGAATTGGCGGGCCGGGTGGCCTTCATCACGGGAGCGGCCATGGGGCAGGGAAGGGCCACGGCCTTGGAACTTGCCCGGCACGGAGTCCATATCGCCGCACTCGATGTGGCCCGTAAGGTTTCGTACCCCAGCTACCAGCAGGCCTCCGGTGACGACTTAGCATCGCTGGTGGACGAGTGTCAGAAGCTAGGGGTTCAGGCGCTGGCCATCGAGGCGGACGTTCGCGACAACGAGGCTGTCTCGCAGGGTGTGAAGGAAGCCCATGAACAGTTCGGCCGCATCGATCTGCTATTCAACAATGCTGGGATCTGTGCCTATGGGCTGGCCCACGAGCTGAGCGAAGACGCCTGGGACGCGATGTTGGACATCAATCTGAAGGGCTCTTGGATCGTCGCCCGACATGTCATTCCGATCATGATCGCGCAGCATTCCGGGGTGATCATCAACAACTCTTCGATCGCCGGCCTGCGTGGCATGGGGCGGCTGAGTCATTATGCGGCCTCGAAGTGGGGCCTCACCGGGTTGACTAAGTCGTGGGCGATTGAGCTGGCTCCCCATGGAATCCGCGTGGTCTCGATTCACCCCACTGGTGTGAACACCCCCATGAACGACGGGCTGGCCGCTATGGAAGGTGCCACTCCCCAGGAAATCGCCGAACGCTCGGCCGGCAACCTGATCGACGTGCCCTGGATCGAACCCGAGGACGTGGCTAAGTCAGTCGTGTTTCTGGCCTCTGATGCGGCAAGATTTGTAACTGGATCTCAATACGTCATCGATGCCGGGTTGCTGACCAAATAGGCCTGTAGTGCGAGAGGTTAGGGGCGTTTCCTCTGCTGGGTGAACGAACCAAGACCGGGCGGCTTCCGTAATTCGGGGAACACCCTTACATATCCCCTGTCCCCTGAAACCCGGGCTTTGACAACATGGTATTAAGAAGGGCCGCGTCGGCGATCGGTGGGGATGGTTTGGAGTGGCTTCAAACCGGCTTTATAATCGCGCCGGCTCGTACGAATGCCTGGATATGCGTTCGTCAGCGTATTACTCTCGGATTAGGCGCGTTCGCCGCCTGGACGATCACATCTTGCGGAAGACATTCCCAAGCAGCCGATAAGGAGCAAACTCCCATGTGGATTCCGAAATGGGTCAGAGACCGCAAGCAAGGCGTCGACGCCGCCATGCCAACCCAGGTTGTCTCCAACGAGGAGTTCGTCCCGCGGCCGCAAAACGCCAAGCAAAAGCAGGTCGAACGTCTGATCCAGAACATGACGGAAGAGAAGTCGAAGAAGCTGGGCATGGATCGCCGGGCCTTTGCCGCCAGCACCATGGGCTTGGCCACTGCGTTCTGGGCCAGCAACCAGGTCTATGGAAACTACTGGGACGTCGACGAAGAAGAGACCACCGAGCCGGGTGCTTACGAAGACAAGTGGCCCAAGAGCGAATACTTCATTATTGATGTGCAATCCCACTTCACCAACGGACTCGCCATCGGCTTCCGCAACATGGAGATGTTCAAGAACCAAGAGTTCGTCAAGAACATGGGGTTCAAGCTAGAGAACACTCCAGAAGCTTATGCCTTCCCGAACTTCGTCAAAGAAATGTTCTTTGACAGCGAAACGGCCATGCTCGTCATCTCCGGCGTACCGGGCAAGGAACGCAACTTCGACCGCAATGGTAATGAGGTTGAAGGGCCCCAGCGATTTGGCGGTGTGTTGCCCAGCTGGTTGATGTCGATGCGAAAGAAGGATATCAACGAGATGGCCGGTTGCCAGCGGGCATTGGCCCAAGGTAACTGTGCCCCGAACCACTACTGGGACAAGGCGACCAACTCGCAGGATAAGGCTGCCCTGTTCGAGCAGATGGACCGCGAGGTCAATAAGTACGGTATCGACTCGTGGAAGTGGTACTGCCACACCGACCCGGGTCGCTCGGGCGATGGCTTCCAGCTCGATGACGAGAAGCTGGCCTATCCGTTCTACGAGAAGTCGAAGGAACTGGGCATCAAGCTGTTCAGCGTTCACAAGGGCTTCTCGTACCAGTCGCGAACGCTGGGCCACCTGGCCAACCCGAAGGATGTGGAGAAGGCCGCGTTGGATCACCCCGACCTGACGTTCGTCATCTACCACTCGGCACTGCAACACGTGCCGATCATGCCCGGCTGGAAAGAGACGTACGACCCGACGACCGGCGACTTCAGCTGGCACGATGTGCTCATCAAGATCAAAGAGCGCAATCCGGAAATGAACAACGTCTATCCGGAAATCGGCTCGTCGTTCGGAGCCCTGGTGATCGACCACCCCGAAGCTTGCCAGCACTTGATTGGCAAGAACATCAAGACTTACGGGGCCGATCATGTGATTTGGGGAACCGACTGTCTGTGGTGGGGCTCGCCCCAGTGGGTGATCGATGCCTTCAAGCGTTTCCAAATCTCCGACGAACTTTGCGAGAAGTTCGGCTATGAGAAGGTGACCAAGGAAGACAAGGCCAAGATCTTCGGTCTCAACGCCGCCAAGCTGTATGGCGTCGACGTCGAAGAGCAGCGTAATAACCTGCCCAAAGACGGCCTCAGCCAACTGCAAGCAGCCTATCGCGCCGCTGGTGGCCAACGCGAAAACGCCGCCTATGGTTGGGTTCGCGACGACACCGCCTAAGGCGATTCGGTCGTAACGGCTGGGAGTGGCGGGGGTTTCGTGGTGTGCCCCAGATGGGTTTCTGCGCGCCATCTGAATTGACCTTTGACGGCAGATCGGTCAATTTCACTGATGTATCGCATCGACGGCAGGCGATCCGGGCTCGATAGGTCCTGTCGCCCGTTCGGTCGATGCGATGCGTTCCAATTCTGAGTTCAGTCTCTCCCTCGCGGTTGCGACACGGATGTGCCATGGAACCGAAACGTCGATCCAAGCCTGAAGCCGACCCTTCGGCGGAAGACCCGTCTTCGCCCTCCAGCGAAGCGCAGCCTGCATCGTCTGAAGGGGTCACTCCTCGGCGAAAAGCCCGGGCTTCGAACTCGGCTAGCGGTCCTTTGTCGGCCGAACAACTGAGTGCGGCATTCGCCTCGTTGACCGGCGCCGATCCTCCGGCCGGTGAGAACGAGACGTCTGAAGAAGCGTCCGCATCTTCAGATGAAATCCAAGCACTGGACGGCGATACATCGCAGGGTACGGGGCAGGCTTCGAGGGAGTCTCCGCCGGTCAGCGAAGAGCCGCCGGCTGACCATGGCGACGTCACCCCGCTGGGGATCATCGAAGCGATTTTCTTTACCGGCGTACCCAGTGGTGAGGTGCTCGACAGCGAACGAATTGCCTCGTTGATTCGCGGCGTGGAGCCGCACGAGATTGGCGGGTTCGTCGAAGCCCTCAATACGCAATACGATGCGGAGAACCGACCCTATCACATCGTCACCCAAGGCGGCGGGTTTCGGATGCAGTTGCTCGATTCGTTCAATCGCGTTCGCGATCGGTTTTATGGTCGAGTTCGTGAAGCACGTCTCTCCCAGGCGGCCGTCGAAGTGCTTGCTGCCGTGGCCTACAACCAACCGACCACCTCGGATCAGATCAAAGAGCTTCGAGGCACCGCCAGCGGAGCAGTGCTCAATCAGATGGTTCGTCGCAAACTACTGCGTGTGGAGCGGACTGAAGAGAAACCGAAGAAGACTGAGTACTACGTTACTCAGCGATTCCTCGACCTGTTCGGGCTCGACAGCATCAACGATCTGCCGCGCAGCGAAGACCTGAATCAGAAGTGAGCGAGTTCACTTCGCGCCTTGTCTTGTGGTCCAAACGGTCTGAATCGCGGCGATTACTTTCTCGGCATCGCCCGGCTGTAGGCAAAACGGATCGATGCCAGTTAGCCCCTCTCTCGCGTCGCCCTCGATGAGATAGATCGCGGGGTCGCCACGTTGCAGCGTTTGCACCAGCTCGATCGCCGTGATTGCGGAGGACTGGTGATCAACTCGCAACTCAACGCATGGCCATTGACCTGGATTCTCGACTAGTTTAACGCCCAGTCCTTCTAGTTCTTTCAGCTCACCGGCGACCTTAGCCGCGGTATTCTTCAATCGGGAGCGTAGTTCCTTCTCGTCTTGTTTGACGAATCGCTCAAGGGCAACCATGAGGCCAACGATCTGCTCTTTTCCGACTTTCATCGAGCGGCCGATACCGTGATTCGGCACGCCGCGGGAGATGATCTTGGCATCGATCAAGTTCGCCGGCGGGTTCCATGTCTCGCCCAACACGTCGAGATCCCACGATTGCAGCGCCGCCGAGGCGATCAACTCCCGGCGGCCGCAGAGGATGCCCGTAGCTTGTGGACCGCACAGTGCCTTACCACCGCTGAACACCACCAGATCGGCCCCGGCTTCGATGAAAGTTTTCAGGTTTCGTTTGGGTGGGAGTGAGGCGGCCGCATCGACAATCACGGGCACTTCGTTCCGCTCGGCCACTTCGATGACAAGCTGCAAATCGAGCGGCGAAAAGCCCACGCCGTAGTACAACGCAGCGGTGCGGGGCCCGATGGCGGCCTCGATTTCCCAGGCTTGCGGATCTCGGGTGCGTTCGGCAACGCCGACTTCGACCAGTCGAGCCCCGGCCGCACGCAGGGCATGGTCGTATCCGTTGCGGTGCGAGCGGGGAACGATGATCTCGTTGGCCATCGAACTGGCATCGGGCAGCCGGTCCATTGCGGCAAAGTCGAGCCCGGCCAGGCAGGCGGCGGCCGCTAGCGTTAATCCTGCGGCCGCCCCCGCGGTGATCAGCCCGGCTTCGGCACCGGTGTAGTGGGCGATTCGCTCACTGGCGGCGGCCTGTAGCTCGTCGATGCGGACGTAGCTCGCTGCGGCTTCGGCCATGGCGGCCGTGGTCTCTGGGGCCATGATCGAGCCACTGAGCCGGGTGAGGGTGCCCGCCGCATTGATGATGGGTTGTACGCCAAGAGAGCGGTAGACGCCGGCCATGGCCTTTCAGTCCCCCCAAGGGATCATTGGATATTGATGTGAGGTGCAAACCAAGATTCTCAAGGATGACCCGGGGGTTACGCAACCAGTCCCCGCTCAGGTAAAGCCCGAGCTGAGGGGATGGGGATTGTTCCCAGGAAACGCCCCCAAACGTCTCCTCTGGCCAGGAAAACCGAGGAATTTCCCCATAATTACTCGCCAACGTGACGAAACCCAGGCGGGTTGGCCCAGGTACAAACTACAGCGGCGACACGAATGGGACGCCGGCCGTGTGCTCTTCTTATACCCGGCCGAGAGTCGCTGTTTACGGCGGGGAGGTGGTGGCCTCGCCGTAGTGAAAAGAATGTTCTGGGATACCGGCGGCAGCTTGTTGCAGCGGGTAACCGGGGGAATTATTCTTCACGGGTATAAAATTCCGCCACGCTACAAAGCTAGACTTTGATCGGCATCTGTCCTCGGCGATCGTTGGGGGCAATTTTGGCAGCGTGCTCATTTTCCGGACACTTTGAGAAAAAAGGTGAATTGTATGAAGGTCTTTCTAGCCACTCGCACCGCACTGGTTCTCGCCGCCGCGGCTGTGCTTTCTCTGGCGAGCCTGAACTCGGCCTCGGCCGACCAAAAGCTTGCCTGGAAGTTCAAGCCAGGTGAGGAACTGCAATACGCAACGATGCAGGAGATGGAAGTCGCGGTCGACGCTGGTGGAATCGAAATCATCTTCGAAGTCGATCAAGCCTTGGACCTGACTTGGAAGGTCAAGTCGGTTGCCGATGACGGAAGTGCCACGCTGACCCAATCGATCGACCGCCTGCAGTTCCGTATGAACTCGGGTTTCACCGGTGAATTCGCCTACGATTCGAAGGCTGGCGAAGAAGGTGAAGGCATGATCTGGGAGCGTATGGGCCCCATTCTCTCCGGTCTGACGACCGGAACGATTGACGTCACGATCACGCCCACCGGTGAGATCAAGGACGTTGTGCTCTCCGATGACCTCTCGGAAGCCTTCGAGGCTGCCAAAGAGGGGGACAACGGGGGAGCCGGTGGTATCTTCGCTCTGCTCGGCATCGGAATGGACGCCGAGACCGTGAAGTTGGCCATCGCCGATTCCGTCATCCAACTGCCCGCCGAAGCTGTCGCCGAGGGCGGCACCTGGGGTAACACCACCGAATTGGAAATGGGCCCTGCCAAGCAGGTTACCGAAAAGACCCTCTCCTTCGATGGCACCGAAGACCGTGACGGCGCGAAGCTCGCCAAGATCGGGGTGGCCAGCGAGATGATGCTCGAGATTGACGAAGACAACGAAGCCGACGTCGAACTCGAAATCACCGAGCAAGAATCGACCGGTACGGTCTACTTCGATGTCGAAGCTGGCAAGACGGTCGACGCCTCGACCCAAACCTTGCTCGTCCTCGAAGGCGAATCGCCGATGGGTGAACTGATCATGGAGCGGACCATCACCAGTTCGCTCAAGCAGGGCACCAACGATGACCTCATCGAAGCCAAGCCTGAGGAAGAGTCCTCGGATAGCGACGACGACAGCGATTCCGATAGCGACTCTGAAGACAGCGACTCGGACGAGTCCTAGTTTTCAGGCTTAAATACGACGTTACCCAAGCACGGCTTGGTAACAACTACGATTGAAACTGCGCTAGCCCAGGAGTGCCCCTCCTGGGCTAGTTCGTTTTATAGAGCCTGCTGGGCCTGAGTTGCCTGGCCTGGCTGTAACTTATTTGCTGAAAATGGCTTGTGGCTTGACTGCGGATTGTGCGGCAAAGGCCGGCCAACGTCTGGGGCGACGGATTGGACCCGTTGTGCTACCCTGGTTGAATGCTGAACGCGGCTATGCCGCCACAGCGACAAGCTCTAAAATCTCCATTCGTTTTTGCGGTTCTGTCGCGCGACTCACCGTTGCGGCAGGGCAAACATGAATCACTACCGGGCGACGGCTTCACCGGCCGTCTGATTGCCACTGCGGCAGAACATTCCTTCGCCAGCCGTCGTTTTGAGAGCACGTGCCGCCCTGGCACGATCTGCCTATGTCCTCGGACAACCCCGTTCAGCGATTGCGCGCCGCCGCGCCGGCAGTTTTGCCGTCGATGTTGATGTGCGATTTCACCAACCTGGAGCGCGAAGTGCGCCGCTTGGAAGAAGCGGGGGTGGTCGGGTTGCATCTCGACGTGATGGATGGCAATTTCGTGCCGAACCTGACCTACGGGCTGCCGATTGTGTCGGCGATTCGCCGCCTGACATCGCTGGTGATCGACGTGCACCTGATGATAACCGATCCGGCGACCTATGCCCCACAGTTTCGCGACGCGGGGGCCGACATCATCAGCTTCCATGCCGAGGCGGTCGATGAGCCGGGCGAAGTGGTTGAAATCATCAAGAACTCCGGATCCGCGGCCAGCATTGCTATCAACCCCGTCACTCCGCTATCAGCGATCGAGGATTGCCTTGATAGCTGTGACATGGTGTTAGTGATGAGTGTTTCGCCAGGGTTCGGTGGGCAGTCGTTCGAAAGCGTTGCCCTGGAGAAGCTTAAGCAGCTTAGTGAACGCCCCGACTTCAATGCTTTGCTAGAAGTGGATGGCGGCGTGAACGACTCGACGATTGCCTTGTGTGCCGAAGCCGGTGCAGATTTGTTTGTAGTTGGATCGGGGATCTTTCGATCCAACGATTATGAAGACCGTGTGCGCTCGCTGAATCGGGCCCTGCGGTCGAAGGTCAGTTAGCAAAAGGTAGCAGTCGTATGTTGCGAATCATCTTGATCCGACCCGGCACGACCGACTACGTCGATCAAGCTCGCGTCCACGGCAACCTCGATATCCCGCTGAATGAACAGGGGGAAGAGGAAGTTTCAAAAACGGCAGAAGCTTTGCGCGACCAGAATATCCGCGCGGTGTTCTGTTCCGACGCCGAACCCGCACTCAGCACGGCCAAAACGCTGGCCGCGGCGCTCGACGTGAAGGTGCGAAAACTGGACCACATGCAAAACCTCGACCACGGTCTGTGGCAGGGCATGTCGGTTGAAGAAATCAAACGCAAACACCCCAAGGTCTATCGGCAGTGGCAAGAACACCCCGATAGTGTCTGCCCTCCCGCGGGTGAATCGCTTAGCGACGCCCGAGCCCGGGTGCATGGGGTGTTGAAAAAGCTGCTGAAGAAACAAAAGGATGGCACCATTGCCCTAGTAGTTTCCGAACCGCTGACTTCGCTCGTACGCAGCGATCTGCAACAATGCGAGTTGGGCGATTTGTGGAAAGCTTACACCGCACCGGGCGGCTGGCAGGTGATCGAAACCGAAATGGTCCCTGCAGCACCGTGAGATCAGAGGTGAAACGATGAGTGTTGGTAAATCCGATCCGAAGACCACCGGACGTCGTCCCAAGCGTGGTGTGCCCGAGGGACTGTGGAAACGCTGCCCTGGCTGCCGGGCGACCATCTTCCGCAAAGAAGCCGAGAAGCGATTGGGCGTTTGTCCCGAGTGCGATTACCACTGGTATGTCTCGGCCCGCGACCGCATCAACCAACTATTGGACGAAGGTACGTTCGAAGAGTGGGACGCCGAACTCGAACCTGTCGACGTGCTTTCTTTCAGCGATAAGAAGGCCTACCGCGATCGGCTGGTCGAAGAACAAGCACGCACCGGACTACGCGATGCAGCGATCGTCGGCACCGGTATGATCCGGGCTCGCCGCGTTGCCTTCGGCGTGACCGACTCGGCTTTCATCATGGGAAGCATGGGCGCGGTCGTCGGCGAAAAACTCACGCGTCTTGTGGAACGAGCCACCGAACAGGATCTACCGCTGATCATCATCAGTGGTTCTGGCGGCGGTGCCCGCATGCATGAGGGGATTCTTTCCCTGATGCAAATGGCGAAAGTCTCCGCCGCGTTGGCTCGCTACGACGAAGCCGGCGGGCTCTACATCTCGGTGCTGACCAATCCCACCATGGGCGGTGTGGCAGCGAGCTTTGCTTCGCTGGGCGATGTGATATTTGCCGAGCCGAAAGCCTTGGTCGGATTTGCTGGCCCGAGAACGATTAAGGCCACCATCCGCATCGAGCTGCCCAAGGGATTTCAAACGAGTGAGTTCTTGCTCGAGCACGGTTTTGTCGACCGCATCGTGAGCCGGGGGAATCTCAAAAGCGAGATCGCCCGTACGATTGACTACTGCGGGAAGTAACGCGGCCGAGGCAAGAGACTGCGGCGGTTACGAGATATTCTCGTCGGGGTGCCCGATGAGGCGTTGATACTTGCTAAGCCGCGATTGCAGCTCGAGCAAATTTTGCCAGGTCCGAAGCTCAAGGGTGACCTCATCGGTCTGGTCATCCACTCGGGCCTCGCCCAACATCTGACGAATGCGGACGTGGAGATATTCGAGCAACTCCGACAGCTGTGCGGCCTGGCCAGGGCTCAGCCCTTGCGGCAAATCGGGCGGAATCAACGCGTGGAGCGTCTTCTCAGCGTCGGAGGGCCGATCGAGGTTCAGCTCGAAGTCGAGAGACGCTTCATCGGGAAGCTCGTCCAGTTCCTCGGGGCTGAGTGTGCGATCTACGGGCGAGGCCCCGCTGCGAAGTGCGGCCAAGCGTTCGGCAATTTGAGCACGAGAGCCGAAGACCAGCACCGAGCTGCCCAGCGAGATCATGTCGCCAAAGCGAAGGATTCGTAGCGAAATGTCTTCGCCGTTGACCTTGGTGCCGTTGGTGCTTTCCAGATCGGTGAGCACCAGCTTGTCGCGATCGTCCTGAATTTTGAGGTGGAAGCGACTGATCCGCTCGTCGTTGAGCTGGATGGTGTTCCCTTCCTCGCGGCCAATGGTGACCGGCGTGGGCAGGCCATCGAAGACCTTGCCTCGGTCTGCACCGTCAATCACTTGTAACGTTATCTGAGCCATCGGTGGGGAGATCGCCAATTTTCCCTGATCAAACAATGCCGCCGACGCCACGCACAAGCACAGTGCCACCAAGCGCTTATAACATGGCCACAATATCAGGGTCAAGAAGCGGACGAAGCCCCGCTGGAAGCCTCAGCTTAATTGGTGTGGACAGTTGACAATTCTAGGGATCTGCACGGTTGAACACCCGTCGTATGAACTGCCATCGAGCGAAACGTGCAAAGCTGCCGCTACTTTTCGTCCAATTCGGCATACCACTGAGCGTACGGAGAATTCTTGGCGAGCTTGCGGTTATAGTCCGGCGATCCGTCATCCCACCACACCGGGCCACGTTCTCCCAGGGCGACCTTCGCCTCATGGACACGCGCCCGAGCAGCTCGTAAAGCCTCATCATCGCCGGCAGCGTCTCGTACCCCGCGACGGGCCGACATCAGTTCGGCAACCAGTGCCTTCCGTCGCTCCTCTGCTATGGCAGGATTAGTACACCGCCATAAACGACCATTGACCACGAAATAGCGTCCGTCTGGCGTGACCGGATATTTGCTGTGCTGGGTATCATTCATGCGTCGCGGCGCTGAGTGGCGATTGCCTACCGTTCGCGAGATTCTTCTCACGTGCCTCGCGGACCATGGACCACTCCCATTCTGTCAGGTCGTTAGGGTCGCTTTGAGCAGGGTCGGCGGCTTCGCTAAGACCCACTAGCGTCACGCCCAAGAATGTCATGGCCGAAACAAACAGACCGATGCCGAAGATGATGGCGGTACTCATAATTATCACTCCTTTCGCCCGGCGAAAACCAAAGCACCCAACGAAAGAATCGAGGGAACCCACAGGCCGACGAATAAGCCTTCCTCGCGGCTCCCGCTAAACCACAGACCTACCGAGACAAGAAAGGAAATGAAGGCGGCTCCAACAAACAGAAGCTTGGCTTGCCGGAGCCGTGTGGTGGTACGAATCGCACCGCTGTGGACGGTTCGTTGTTGGTGTGCAACGGACATGACGGATTTCTCCTAAGGAAAAACGGGCTGTGAGCTGCTTGAACCCTGAGACTGATTAGTCACGACTCGTGCTTTCCAGCAGCGAATCGTGGAGCTAGAGTTCCTGCGATTGCACCATCCACAGGTGCTTTTCGAGAGAGGCAGAGATGCCGATGAGCAAGTCTTCGCTAACCGGATCCAAGTCGCCGAGTTTTCCGATCGACTCGCGAAGTCCGTCGATGGTGGTTTGAAGCTGATCGGCCACGCTGGTCACAGTGCCAGACGCATCCACAAACTCGTTCGATAGCTGACCTAGTTTGGAAGCAGCCGCGACTGTCTTCGATCTGCCGTCGGGTGCAACACCAAGAGTAGACAGTCGTTCGGCCACTTCGTCGCTGGCGTTACGCACATCGACAATGATCTCGTCGAGTTGCAGGTGTACAGCACGGAAGTCTTTCCCTATAACACACCAATGAGCTTGTTTGAGTTGGAGGGCGAGATCAATCAGGTGGATCAGTTGCTGTTTCAGGCAGCCCGCAACTTTATCGGTCGTTCCAGAATCGAGAACTTGCCGTTTGAATGTGCCCATGATCTCCCTCCACGTTCCCGGCTTTGCCGTGCGAGATTCTTGTCTTTACAACGGCAGTTTAGAAGCGTGGGAAGCCCTGCGAACTCGGGAGGGGAGTTGAGGGAGGATGACCGACCATCGAGGACGGACGCCAATTCAGCGTTCGTTCGCGACTTCTTCCGCGGGCACACTTGCTGAACGCGAAGTGCCCTCTTCCTCCGTCGCAGGCGTGGCTTCTTTGGCGGGCTCTGCTTCGGGTGAGGCTAGCGCCTGCTCGGGATTGTCGAGCCGGGCCGTGGCTTGGGCCACGTAGTACTGCAGCTCGCGATTACCGCTGTAGAGTTGAATGATGCTCTTCCACTTCTCGCGGGCCTCGAACACGAAACCCTGACGGTACAGATTGTCGGCCTCGGCCATTACGGTGTCGAGCAAATCGCGACGATCGGTGCTGCCGACCGCTTCGCGAAGTCCCGCGGCCTGGCGTTGGGCCAGATGGATAAAAGGGCGATTGTCATCGGCGTTAGCTTCGTCGGTTTCGAGAACCTCGATCATGCTTTCGTAGGCTTCCAGCGCGGTGACACTATCGCCGAATTGTTCGTAAGCCAACGCTTGAGCGTAGAGCCGTTCCGCCTCGCTGCGGGGAACACCGCCCAGCTTGTTTCGCGCCTGGAATTGCCGCTCTGTGGCGCGCATCTCGATCATGTCGAGGAATTGCTGCACCTGGGCGATGTGCTCGCCTTCGGGGAATCGCTCGACATACGGTTCGAGGTATTGCTTCTGAGCATCTTTCCACACGATCGGTTCGTCGCTATTCATCATTTCGGCACCGCGACGATAGAGTTCGGCCTCGCTCAACGGCCACAGCGCCCAAGCGACTACTCCGACCAACAGCACCAGGCAAGTGGCCAGAAACCAGGTGCGCTCGTGCAGGGGAACACTCTTCTTTTGTTTTTTCTTCTTCCTTCCCATCACGGCCGCGGCTTCTTTGCGGTCGATGCTGGTGTGAATTGTCGACGGCATGCCGCTCATCGAATGTTCCAAAATACTGCTCTGCGAGGCGACCCTTTCCTGCACTTCGATCAGGGCGTGCCGCACCATGCTCGCATCCATCGGGCGGTCTTTTGGATCTTTGGCCAACATCTGAGCCACCAGGGCCTCAAGCCAGATGGGACAGTCCATGGCCAGCGTGCGGACCGCAGGCGGAGTTTCTTCCAAGTGTTGGTAGAAAACCTCGGCGTGAGTTTGAGCCTCGAAAGGGCGCCGCCCGGTGAGCATCTCGAACATCACGCACCCGAACGAGTACAAGTCGCTACGGTGCGAGACTTCCGGGCGACCGCGTATGAGTTCGGGGGCGGTGTAGCTACAGGTACCGATCGCGCGGCCGGCGACCGTAAGGGCCGTGGCGTCGGTGTAGCGGGCCAGGCCAAAGTCGCTGAGCTTGAGACGCCCGCTGCGTTTGCTGATGAGCAGGTTCGACGGTTTGATGTCGCGATGAATTACGTGGTGCTCATGGGCACATGCCAGAGCATCACAAATCTCCAGGCCGTACTTCAGGGCCCGTTCCCAGGGTAATCTTCCGCGTTGCTTGAGCAATTGGGCCAGCGAGCCGCCTTCGACCAATTGCATTGCACAGTACATCGTGCCGTCTTGAACCGACCCGCCGTAGCAGCGGACGATGTTCGGATGGCGGAGCTTCTTGAGAATGCGGACTTCGCGGGCGAACCGCTTCGCGACCCTCGGGTTGTCTACCAGATCGGCCCGAACGACTTTCAGGGCGACCTCCTTGCCGGTATCGACATGGGTCGCGCGAAAGACCTCACCCATACCGCCGGCACCCAGGCGATCGCTCAGTTCGAATGGACCCAAACGGCGCGGAGGCATTGGCGTTCGTATCACAAAAAAAGTGCGGAAGCGACGTCTGGCCTAACATCGCTTACCGGCAGACGGCCGACTGTGGCCGCCGGAGTCTAACCCCCCAAATGGTCCATTCTGACTCGACTTGGGGTGTCGTGCAATGCCGAGAAATCTGGATCTGCTGTAGCGGCCAGCAGGGGTTATCGAGTGAGCATCTTCTGCTCGGCGATGTGCTGCCGGGTTTCGTCCACCCAGTTCTCCACCCGATTGATTGATGGGAAGTGTGTGAGGATCGCTACCAGGGAGATGACGACCACCGGCAAGACAATCCAAGAGCCTTCGACCATGTAGGTGACCAGGGCGAAGAACCCGATGCCTTCCATGATGGCGACCGCGATCAGTTTCTTGGTCATGTACCAACTGCGAAATTCCTCGAACGGAATCTCCTCGTTCTGATGTTCTTCACTTTCGGTGTTTGCCAGTTGTCGAATTTGAAGCCCGACGGCGATGCGAGGGAACAGCATGCTCACAAAGATGGCGATCGGCAGTAGGAACATGACGAGGTACGACATGATCAATTGCTGAGGTTCGCCATCGGGGGCCACGGGTTGATCAGACACGCCCAGGAAGAGCACCACAAAGGTGAACATCAACAAGCCGCTTGCCATGGCAAGGACGATGATTTGCAGCGTCGTGACTGTTTGCTGCAGGGCAGTTTTCTCGGAAGGCGTAACCATCGTGGTGCACCCTTCAGTTAGATGTCGAGAACCGCGTGACCCGGACTCGTGCGAACTTAGGGCAGTTCGCGGATCCGGACGTTATTGAATTGTATGTCTCGGCCGCCGTAGTTTTGTAGCCCGATGTAGCCAGAATCCCGCTTTAGGCCAGGG